TTCGTTTTATTTTAATAATATCATTGAGATATGATAATGAATAAGCTCAACCAGAACATGCAATAGGTTTCGAGCTCGTGAATACTGATTGCACTTAGGAAATGATCTGTGATTTGTTCATAGATGAGGAGGGAGTCTACAAGCCTGTACCGGCACCGAAATCGGCACCGACCACTCAGAATAATAACAACCAAAGCTTGCAACAACAGGAACCGAGGGCGGTTGGCCTAGAGGGTAACGTGGCCGGGCTGGAATCGAAGCAGAACCGGGTTCGAGATTCCGGGCACAATATTGCACCGGAATACAGGATGCCACCGCTCTACGGGGAAGAGCAGAGCTCGAATCAGACTCAGCAGGCCAGCTTGCAGACTCACAGCAGCAAATTTCCGGTGAGACTCAGTACATGCATTTCAATTTTCCATCCCCTCCTTCAGTTACGCGGTGGAATTTCATTTATTGCAATGAAATTTCGAACAATCGAGGTATAGTGATTGGAATTATTGTATTGTACTCCTGTTCATCAAAATGTAATACGAAACTGGATTCCTGGTATAATTTTATATAAAGTATCTATAAAAAAATTGATATTAATTATTTTACATGAAAATCCGAAATATATGAATACATTTTTATATTTTATTTTTATATATTATTATATTTTATATTTTATGTATGATTTTCAACTACTGATTCATCCTGTATATTAATCTGCTGTTAACTTGACGTGCAACTTGCACGCTGAGTAGGTATTCACAGAACTACTGGATTGAAACAAGTAGATTCCATTAGCTAAAGTCTAGTCGATCGAATTCAAAAATTTCGTTCAGATAAGTGAAGTTTAAATAAAGCCTCTACACTACACACCAGATGGTTCCCTATACGGCGACTGGTCTCGGAGTCCGATGAAAAACTGCGTTAGAACCCAAGACGTAGCGCTTTATTCGGTATACGATATCCGCGTCGACTTTCTAGTTTCGTTTCTTTTATTCTTTACTTTTTACCAGCGATTCTTCTTTAATTGCCATTTTCTCTACCAAGTTCACGGCCGAATCTCATAAAACTGTTTCCTATTTAAAACCTGTCCTGCTCTATATTAGGCTTCATAATTATCACGAACAAAAAGTAGTAACATGACACAATTATCTCTTAAGAATTCCAATAAAATTTTTCCACCTCATAAACTATTAATTCGTCCATTTTATTTTATAAAAATTCTATTATATTTCGTCATTTGAATATTAAGAATATTCAATGATCCTCGTTCTCAATTTTCCTTCATTTTTTATCAAACGTTTTAATGGAATCGATCAGTTGGAGATTATTAACGTGAAGAATTGAAGTTGTTTTAGTCCGACTCGTTCGTGCATTTTCACTAACTGTTCGACGAAATTGCGGCAGCGTGTGCGTCAAAGCGAACGCTCTTAAGAACGCTTTGACATATCCTCATCCCGAGAGGAATGAAAGCATTTTATTCCTCCCCACCCTCGGATGTTCCACTTCGCCTCTGACATCGACTTCAAACTCGGGCCTTTTCCTCGGTCGCGAGAGATAAACGTCCTTTGCATCCTTACGTCCGCGTCAAAGCAAATTCTCTCTGCAAACATGAATCACGAATTAAGCGTACATACATTGACAAAGAGTAATTGATAATTTGCTTACTTTTAATACAGTCTTTTAATAAATATCAACCACAAACTTTATATTATTCATATTTTTAATCATCCAATTATAATAAATCTATTGCAATATTTTATAGATATCTGAATTGTTGAAATTCCATTATACATAATTCTCAGACAAACGCATAAAAATTCGCATTCCACTGATAAATAATTTTTATTTTTAACAGAATAGCTTGCAAGATCCGGTAAAAATTACGCCACATTGAAATTGCTAATTTACTTTCTCTGTTGCTAAAAAGATTGAATTAAACTACGATTGTGGGTAGACGATTACTGTTACGTGGAGCATTGCTCATCACTTATGCAGTTATTTGTGCAACGTGTGACTTCTGTAACGAGGAAGCAATGGGAATCAGATCGAATTAAGAATTCATTAATTCTCGTGTTCCGTTAGGCTTAGAATAAACGTCTAACCGCGTTTAACGGTTTGACGGAGCATCTTCATCTGTTAGAATGAATCCGCAGTTTACGGGTAATTAGGAGATTATCGACCGTTTCCATACTTCCCTGTTACCATTATTCATTTTTCACCTCTTCCGCGAAAGTAGTCTTAAGCACCTTGGAGAGAGTTGCTCATTCTAAATATCTAAATGCCTGCAATTATAGTTGCTTAAGTACTATAATGATTTGAGGACAAGGCAATAATTATAAGTTGAACAAATATTTAAATAGAATTACCTAAATTATTAGTCTTAAGCTTGAAGGCAATTGCATATTCTATGTAGAGATTTGAGGATAATATTTATAACTTGAACAAATATTTAAGTAAAAATTATCTAAATTATTGAACATAAATAAAATCTATCATAGCAAAAAGGAAGACGGTGACGCGTTAATTGCGGACCAACTAATAGTCAGCTGTCTTATGAGAAAAATCGTAGACAGAAAATTGTAGAAGAATCACATTTTCATGATTAGGAATTATAAGTAATAATCATTTGTCGACGGGTAAAAGTGACGCGTATCTGACGGGGGTATCGCAACCCGGTTCTAAGCGGCTTCCGGTGAACGGTACGCAGGTATGATGCCTCCTTTGTCCCGGCTGATTGTGAGAATCTCTGAGAATATTCCCAAGAACGCAACGTAACCAACGTACGTACGTACGTATACGCGTCGTACAACGAACTGTTACCGAAGATTTCACCGAACGCCACTTCGCAATAGGCGGATAACTAGAATGCTTGAATATGGAACACCTGCACCAGTTGCTTTCAATTACTTAGATAAAGCATTTCTGCGATTGCTCCGACGTCGAGATGCTCCATCTCTACGATAGTCCATCGTCCCAAATAGAAATCAAATAATAAATAGTCTGGTGCAACGAGCAGCCAGACGAACAAATTCACGCAAGCCACTAACTCAATTATTTTGTTCCCCAAAAACGGTACTAGACTTTACTGTTGAATAAATGTTCACTGTTTCATTTCTAACACCCGACATTAAATATTCCTTTGACGAAACCATAACACATTTAATTCTACAAACAAATCAATTTCCTATTTCATCTGATTAATTAAATGATTCCAAATTTGGCGAATATAAATGTAATTAATTTAATCATACTGCAAATGCAATGTCGTTATTGAATACTAATCGGATATACTAACGAGCGTGTTTCTCAGAGCTGCGGACTGAATTTGAGCGACAAGGCGGGATACGCCGTCAATTTGGTTTGACAGTTAACAGCGCGACGCGACGCATCGAATTAAAGAAACGTTTCTTCGCTTTCCTGTTTACAGATAGAACGGGAGGTAGTTCTGTCGTCGGGTGACAAGAATTCCAAGATACCAATTCTTCACGAGTACAAACAGAGGACGGTAGGAAGAGTCGCCATCGCGCCGGATGCACCGATCAAGCAACAAGCTTGGGTTCAAGAGGTCAGCTCCCAAGATTTTTATAAAAAATCTAATCTGATTGAATAGAAATTTTATTCTGTAGATTAAACTTCTACGAAAAGATCTTTTAATTAATAGTAAACTGACTTCTACCTCTTCTGGCTTCGCGATGAGCACGGTTATTAATTATTGTTTGTTCTACTTGGTTATTACGTGGAATAATGTTCGCACGGCGACTGGGAACGCTCGGTCTTCAAGTGTTGCCATGTCATTACGAAATCCTTCATTGACTAAATAGCGATCGGTTCACGCAAATGCACCCACGTGAATTGCTCTGAACTTTGATCTCTAACAATGAACGAACGCGCGTGGGTGTTCGCACAATGCCGCAACACTATTGTTCCCAGCTTGCAAACTGATGAACAGTGAATTTCGCGCAACGAAACGTGGAAAGCTCGGTTCATTTGATACACTTATACGTTTTCCAATGAGGATTAACGACGTATAATTCGACAGCTCGTACGCCGCGTTAAACGGGATCAATCATTTTACAGATCGTTCGAATCGAACTTGAAAAACGTTGTGCCTCTTTTTTGTTGGACGTAGAAATTGTCATACGGGCTCTATAAGTCAGAAAATCTTTTTTGGTATGCGCAAAGCGTGCCCCGCGGCCGCAGCTTCTCTCTCTACCTTCCATCCTTCCTCTGTCCGTCTCGCACTGGCCGTGTCTGTCTTTTTACCTGGCAGCGTCAGTTGTTATTCCGACCGCATCCCTTCTCGAGAATCGGGGAGGATTCACTTGGACAAGTTTGAAATTCCCCCTGCGGTTCGAAGCGGACACGCTGCGCGCCATTAGCTAGCCTTCTGTCCTTCGCACCGCTCCTGAAGGGAAAATTGTTTTCAGACGATTCCGTATTCAAAACGGTTCGTTCAAATTCAGTTCCCTACTACAATGCAATAAAGAATTTATATTATCAACGTATTTTATCTCAAGAACTATTGACATTAGAAAACTGCTTTACTATACTTATTTCTAAAACATGTACCAAAACTGTTTAAGGATGTATAGGCTAGCATGTTGAATTTGTTATTATAGATTCCTATTACTATTAAAGAAGAAGGAACAGGACCAAGTGTACGTACCCAATCAGGAGAACCAAGAAGCGGAAGGCACGTCGTCCTCGGTCGCTAAGAGGATCGAGGAGTTGCAGAAACGAGCCGAGGAGAGTCATTACAACGCAAAAGCGTCGAAGGACGGCGTGGAATCTGATAGAACTTGTCCCGGTGGGAAAATTGCGTTAGGTGAGTCGAGAAACTCTTTGATGAACTTTCGTAGGAATTTTAATTGATTGACGTAATGTTCCAAAGAACCAATTAGGTAACATCAACTTTCTTGTTTCCTTACTTTAATTATTTAAACAATGTATTATAAGATTATCTTTCTTACTAATTAAGACTAATTTAATTCATTTAGTATAATGACCAATTTAAATCTTACGGAAGAACTTATTTTTATTCTTGTATTTAATAATTCAATTAATTTATTTTATATAAAAAACCTATTATAAATATATG